CTTGAGAGAGTGACTTGAACCTAACTTGGCGTGCTCAAGATCTGCAGCACTGCCAGCAGGTTGGCTTGGCTACCTGAATGCTTTATTCTCTGAATAAAGTAGAGAATATTCAGACAACAATGATTTGGTGAAAAGTGCTTCATGTTATTGAGAAATGTCTCATGGGATAATAAAAATCAAAACAAATTAGATGAGAGAAACCAAAGGTAATAATAATAGCTAATATTTGTTGGGCATTTAATGTGTGTTAGGCACTATTCTAATTACTTTATGCATATTAGCTCTTTTGGTCCTCATGAAAACTATAGGGATTTTAATCATCAAGTAAGGAAAATAAGGCTAAGACAGGTTAATATGTTCAAATGCCACACAGGTACCAGTTAAGAAGCCAATGTCTAGCTGAGAGATGAGGAGAGTTTGAAGTAAGGCATTCTAATGTCTTACTTAATGTGAAGAGCAAAAGACAAATTTGGGAAATAATAAGGAGAAAAGTTTATAGAAATTATAAATGATGAAATCAATGGGAAGTGAAGGATGGGTAGTAGGACTTGAGGTTCACTGGCTATTTGTTGGGCTACTAAAGAATGTTGTTCTTAAGAAAGAGAGGAAACGCAAGAGTAGCCTACTAAGTATGTGGCATGTGGTGTGTGTGTGGGTGTCTCTGTGTGTGTGTGTGAATCTGTTGAGAAAATGATTTAAGAGTAAGTATAAGTCAATTGTACATAAGGTAAAAATTCCCTACTGAATTAGAGATGCCTTTGGGTCAAAACACGGGAATGTTCAACAGAAATATGAGTAAAGAGTTTTTGAAGCAGGTGGCACTGGAGTGTAGGTGTTATTCATACCAAGGAATGCTTTTCATAGTAGTAATAAAATACCAATAGTGGCAGAGCAATAAAGACATTTAATCATCTCATATAACACAAATGTTAAAGGTAGTTTCTTCCCGGTTTGGCAAGGTAGCTCAGTGATGTTACCAACAGCCCAAGCTCTCTGTTTTCTCTTTCTGCTCTGTCATCCTCAATATATTGGTTTTTGACCTTGGACTTGTTGCTCACTCATGGCATCACTGACGCTCTGGACTAGATCATCGTTGCAGGGTTTGTCCTGTGCATTATAAGGTGTTTGGCAGCATGTCCGGTCTCTCCCTACTACATGTTAGCAGCAACTCTTTCCACCCCCTAGAGGTTATAGTAAAAAATGTCTTCAGACATTGCCAAATGTCCACTCTCCGCTGCGGATCACTGGCCTATAGAGCAAGGATGCTCTTCAGGATGTTGATGGCATCTATAGTGAGAAGGAAGGCAGCCGGACAAGCAGGTTTAAGAGGGAAGATTAAGTGCTTGGATTTGGACTAATTGGGCTTGAAATAATACTGATGCACCAGATATGGGGCCTTTGGAAATAAAGTTCTGGAGATTATGAAAGAGATTAGAACTAGAGACATAATTTTGGACATTAGCAGACTAGAAATAACAGCTGAGATCACCTAGGGACAGAATATAAAGCAAGGAGATTCAGGATCAGATACAGGTGAGGTGACTCTCTTGACTACACCTAGAAGGCATGAGGAAAAGGCAGTGTGATCATAATTAGTGGAAAAGGACCTGCCAGTGAGGCTGGAGAAGATCCAGAGAAGCATAATGTCATGGCTAGAAAGAGTTTCAAGAAGAGAGGCCAGCTTTGTGAGTCAGGGTGGGTAGTGCCCTGGGACATTACAGAGAAATGGTGGAAAGATTTATAAAATCCTTTCAACACAGATGGGAATTACTTTATTTTTAAAGAATTTGGAAGAAAAATTCTATAAATTCCCCTTGGAATTCTTTTCTTGGTTAATAAGTGATGTGTTTTTCATATTCTAGAAATTGTTTAGTTGCACTTTTAGTCCATATCCTTCATTTATTCCTTATGGAAAATAAATAGCTGATACTTATTCTAAGGGTGACTGGGATTGAATATCCATAGGACACCTGTGTGGGACATACAGTGTCCTTTAATACTGAGCACTGTATTAACTCATTTCTTTCTTGTAATAAACCTCCAAGTTATATACTCCTTTCCTTATATCAGTGAATTTTAAAAAAATCTGAATTTCAGAGAGATTAAATAAATTGTGAAAGGTTGTACATTACAAATTACTGAAATGGAATACAAATTCAGGTTTGGCTTTAAAGCCAGTGCTTTCCCCTAATCTGTGTCACGTCTTTGATGATCATTTATTAACTAATTTCTTGGCCTTTAAACTTACTTTAGAGATTGCTATAGGATTGGGCTTAAGTCTGATTTGCTTTTTGAGTAACCTAAATAATTAAATTAAGAAGAAAGTATGAAGGATATAAAAACACTAAGCATTTTTTATCTTGTCCAGGGATAGTTTACCCAAAAATTATTGAGTTATTTAGGGACAGTTGACTGTGGGGATTACTACATCCTCCATGTTCAACAGGAAGTCCTTGGGTTACTACTGCCCTCTTTGGATCCACCATCCCAGGCATAGGGGATTATCCATGTTGGTGTTCCCCAGCTTTTCATGGGGAGCATAGATCCAGCCCTTCTCTGGATCTAGCCAACCCTCACTGATAGAGTCTAACTTAAGTGGGGATTAGGTTGTAGAGTGTGTACAAGGCTAGAAGTAAACCCACTAAATCTAAATTGTCCTGGAAAATCTTGTAATTTCCCATAAGCACAGTATAAATGATTTTTTGAATATTGAACCCTGTGTGTGTACACCTATATAAAATGACTACAAGTACTATAGGAAATATAAAAATGATAAATCTTTGAAGTATTTTTCATTTTGAGAAATAAAGAGTTAACATTTTTTTCCCCCTGAATTTGTAGAGTCAAATTTTAGAGTAGATGTCCCTCTACTCTTTACGACAGAAAGCATCATTGCTTCTACTAATTCTCCTACCCAAGTCCCAAGAACTGAAAATATCTGTGAGGTTCCTGCCTCTAGATAGGATTTAAGAAGATACAGGAGGTAGGTTCTGCAAGTAGTTGGCATATATAGTTGTCATGGTGATCATAACAACAAACTTTGTTAAATAACAGTGAGGACAAGAGGAGCTGGGTTGTCTGGGGCTCTGAGGTCAGTATCATAGTTCATGTCTCTGGAGACTGTTAGAAATTCCATCTCTTCTTCAAGTTCAAAGACACTGCCCACAGGTAATGGAATACATCACTTTTGGAGAATTCAGCTTCTTTTATTCTCTTTTAACTGTGATTTTCTTGAAGTGTAGTGCTGCTGGGTAACAGTCTTGGTTGATGATGACCCTCTTCATTTGGGAAAAGCATTTTTGGTGTCTAGGAGGAAAGCTTTGGAGGGTTTACATGTAGCAGCAATGAGGGGGTACTCTGGGACCCTCCTTCCAACCTGGGAGGGAAATGGGAAGATGAACATAGCCAGACTGTTGTCATTCTCTTCTGGGGATGTCAACTGGCCAAGTCCCCTTTCACTGCTAGCTGCTCTTCAAGCTCTTTGTATCTCCTCTGTTGCTAATATCAAAAGAATCCTTCACAGGAAGGCCATTTGATCTTATAAGTCATTGCCTGGTATGCCCTAGAATTTACACACAAATTCATCCAGGTCTATTGCCCCATTGTTCTCTATACCCTTGCCATGCTCCATTTTCTCTTCAAAAAATTTACTACTTGCCACCTAAGTTTTAAGATAACTTTTATTGAGATATATAATTCACATATCATAACATTCACCTAAAGAGTAAAACTGTTTTTTAGTGAATTCACAAAGTTGTGCAACCATCACCACAATCTAATTTTTGAACATGTTAATCACCCCCAAAAGAAACTGTATACCCACTACCCACTAGCAGGCACTCCCTTTTCCCTCCTCTGCCTAGACTGGCAACAGCATCTATGTTTTTGTCTCCATGGATCAACCTGTTCTGGACATTTCAGATAAGTGGAAACATACAATCTGTGGTCATTTGTGACTGTGTTATTTCACTTTGTGTAATGTTCTCAATGTTAATTCATGTTCCAGCATGTGTCAGTTCATATCTTTTATTTTTTTTTGCCAAATAATATTCCATTGTATGAATATATCATGTTTTATTTATCCATTCATCAGGTGATGAGCATTTTGCTACCTGAGGTAATGTTTATTTTCTATTTCCCACACTAAAATATAGGTCCCATGAGTCTTAGAACATTTTGTTATTGTTTACTGCCCTATCCCTAGTGTCTTGCTTAGTGCCTGACATGTAATAAGAGATCGAGAAACTTGCTGAATGAATGACTCGGTCATTCATGTGCCTAACAAACATTTGTTGAGCCCTCACGCACACACGTGTATTCAATGCTCCCTCCCCGAAGAAGGCCAGTGGGTGTAGGAAATGAATATGACAAAGGATCTACCTTCAAGAAGTTCATCATCTGAAGAAGTAACATCTGTGCAAATACATAAGATTAAGAAAATCGATTTTAATAAATACAAACAAAGCACAGTGAACAGACGAAGGGTTCACTTCTGCTGGAGGAACTCAGCGATGGCTTCACAGGAAAGACTTCACCTGAGATTTACAAAAACAGGAGGCCGCCAGATTGCCATCTTGCGAGGTGGGGTCGACCAGGAAGGCATTTAAACTATGTGGCAGAACCTGACCTGAGCGTTAAAAACATGCAGAAGCGGCAAAGCCGGAGCCCTTGTGTGGAGGTGGCGAGGAGCTCGCAGGGAATAACTGGGCTAGCAGGCAATGTTCAAATCAGAAAGCATTTTATGTGCTCAAAGGATCAAGATTATTTCCCCCAGATACATATAAGAAGCTGGCAAAAAATGGTCGTATCTGGGGGTGAATGGGGGCCTGGAGCAAGGGGTTGGAGAATCAGAGACGGGCAAACTTTTACAAACCAGGCACATATTCTTAACTTTTCCAAAAATGCGATTTAAAATTTCTGCTTTGGATGATAGGGGTCAGGGGCTTGGGGGAAGGTTACTCCGCGGACCGTGGGAAGTGAAGTGGGCAGGCAGCCAGCCAAGGAGGGAACCGCCATCAAAACCTAAGATGCTTCCTTGTCCTCCGACGTCCCACATCCCACATCGGGGACAGATGCAAGGCGTCCCCGCCCTCGGAGACACACGCACAGGCACCCGTTCAGGGGTGACACGTGGTGACTTGCTGGAAACACGGGCACCTCCCCCCACCCCCACCGAGTGCGCGCTGAGCAAGGCGGGGGCCGGGCGCCGGGTCTGCCTCCGTGCCGGGAGCCACTCACCCTCCGGGGGCGGTCTGGGGGAAACAGCCTCGAGCCTCTTCCTGCTGATGCAATCTGCCGGAGGCCGGCCATCCCCGCCGCGAGGGGCCAGTCCGCCGTCCGCGCGCCACGTGTGGAGCTGCCGCCCCGCAGCCCCGCCGCCCCGCCCGGCTTCGCTCCGCTCTGCTCGCCTGCTCCTCTCCGCCGACGGAACGATGAAGGTAACTGCTTAGGATGTTGATGGTGCGCTACCGAAATGCATGCGTGGATCGAGGCAGCAATGCCTCAAAGCCACCGCTGGTAGAGAGGGGACGTCGGAGGAAGGGCCCCCAGTGGTTTGTTCCCACGCACTCTCCTTGTCAGTCTTCGTTGGTCGAGACTTTCCATTCTTTTCAGACTTTGTTCAACCACCGCTCACAGGATGTGTGCCTCCTCGGGCTTTTTTACGGCAGCATTTGTGAGCGGACATAAAAGACTGCTCGCCTCTGCCTCCGCTGCCTGTTTTGCAGTGTGGAAAGGAAGAGGATGCTTTTCTGAATTTCTGAGATGCACAGGAGGTGGGGGAGTTTGGGGAAGAGGGCTGGGGGTGTCCCTGGCTGGACGCCCGGGATTCCTGCTGCGCGTACGCGCTGGCTGCCCCGGGACTAGGTGAGGAGGGTGGCCGGGGGTGGGGGAAAACTGCCCCATCGCTGTTAAAAGCAGAAGGCTCCTGTTTGGCTTGTGCAAATCAAAGCTATGAGGATTTACAAATCCTATAAGCCCAGGGACTTTTTTTAATTAAGTGGAGTGAGCACCCTAATGGCTTTTATTCTTAAGCCCTTCAAGGTAAATAGCCTGGCTGCCCCTTGCTTCTCAAGGGTTGGGTGTAGAAATAAGCACTAAGTTTTCGGTTTACTGGCGTTACACATTGGAAAGCTGCAGTGACATTAAAAAACTGAACAGCAGCTTTTCTAAAGGAGATGAAGGACGGGCAATCTAAGGTCTTGGAAGTAAGTGATACGCAATCTGAACTTTCAGGAGAAGTAAAATGCGTTTCGAGGGAGGGACATCAAGTATGGTTCTCAACTGCGTCTACCCACTGCCCACCCCAGTCCACAATTTCTGTTACAATTTCTGTTACAAGAAATAATAGGTAAATGGTGTCTTTATCACCAAATAAAATTTTCCACAAGACTAAGCAGGAACTGAGTGGAAACTACTGTTTTGTATTAAAAAGAGATGATGCAAATGTGCCACAATGAAAAATAATAGCAACCTTTTTCTTCTAACTGCAGATATTCTATTTCTGGCTTGCTTACCGCTGTTTAATTTCAGCTGAAAAATACACTTTGGTTAAGTATAGCCTTAGTACGTAAAAGGAGAAAATTATGAGAATAAAACAGTCTTGCTTTTCCCTGTCCTATGTGGAGTTGTAGTAGATTATGCATTTTTGTAAGTTGATGGCTTTAACATGAGGCCAAAAGCCCCCATCCCTTTTGCAGGGTATTTTCATAACACGGGAAAGTGGAGGTTATCTTCATTTAGTCTCATTTCTGTTTTCTGATATTGGACTGAGATTAGGAAAGAAATGGTTATATTCTAGACATGACCTAAGGAATACATGACGGCCCTTTACATTTGTTTTTATTATTTCAAAAACCTTCCTATTTACCTTTTACCTAAGTATTGCTATCATGGTTATTTTTTTTTTTTTTTTAATGTTCTTTGCACATTGGCACCATGATCTGTCCCCAACAATATCTCCAGACTCGGCCTTGTCTGGGAGTTAGGTTTTAAGATGGACACATAGGTTCTTGTCTGAGACCACCCCTTGTAATAAAACACAGATCAACAGGAGAAAAATAAACAGAAGTTTAATAACATTTTTATCTCCTGTATACCTGGGAAAGACCCAGGAAAACTGAGTAACTCCCCTAAGTGGCTCAAGCCACCCCTTGAATATCATCTTCAGCTAAAGACAAAGGAAAGAGGTTGGCCGGGTTTGGGGGACCGTGGGGGGCACTTACAGGAGGTTATCTGGCAATGCATGGATGGCAAAGAAGAGTAATGTTACGAATTTAAGTCAGTGCCTTCTCTAGAGATTAATCATCCTTCTCTTCCTGGGCAGAGAGGTAGACTCACTTACAAGTGATGATTTCCATTGTAAATGTATATTTCTCTCAGAAAAGGGCAGCTTCTACAGTTTTCAAAGGTTCTCCTGAGTGTGCAGCCTCTCAAAAATAACCAGTCCAAAATCATTCTTATGCCAAAGAGGCATCTTTTGGGATGGTCATGTCCTGCCCCCTGCAGTTCCTTATTTCTAATATCAAGATATAGACCAGGGAAATGAACAGCTGGATAGCAGTGTGATTCACCTGAGAAGTCTGGCCTTATGAGTAAACTATGTCTGGGCATAAATGAAGAATTGTTTCTAAACTATGGCCATCTTGAGTGTTTGAGTTCGTTATACGTTTTGGGGTTGCACATTGTCTGCTTCTTTGAATGGTCTCTTCTCAGTGGATTTGGAAGATGAAAATGAAGAGCTTTCCCTATTTCCCTGTAGGCTTGGCAACCACAATTCCTCTAAATAACAAATGCCACCCTAGGGAAACCCAGTGGAACGTTCAGCCTTATGTCCAAGTCAAGCCTTATGAAGTCAAGATATAAAAAAAATTACAGTGAGAATCTGGAACCTTCCATGATAAACATCATTATCCTTTACTCTCTATATGATACATCCTCTACTTTCTATATGATAAGATCATTTTTTTTCACAACAGTAGGAAACTGGCTGGTCTGCTCACTTTACAGTTGTAAATGCAGGCAGCCTTTGTGTTGTAACTTTATCTCCTCAGCAGCTGTCCAAATGCTCTAAGTGTTTAACATAACATGTGATAAACATTCCTACTTGGTAGGCTTTTCTGATCCTTTGTAGCCCACTTGGCGGTACCTGTCAGGGTCCATTCAACTAAGACTGCTGTCATTGGTTTTGGTATAAATCAGCTGAGACATAAATGTGAGATACAACTGAAATTCTTTAAATATCTCAAAATTAAGAATGTAGGACGCTCTGATTCCTAAACATAGCTTTTTCAAATATTTGCAAATATTTTTGTCGTAGAATCTAGTATGTAATTTACAATGTTAATGTTGAACACAGAGCCAAAGGAGATTTGTTTTTTTTCTGCAATACCAGGGTCCAAATACCAATTGCATTTTGCTTCTGATTATTTGCGCAAATCCACAAGCTGAATATTACCTCAGAAATTGAATACTAATATCCTTAAAATAACTTAGGAGTTAGATCACCTTATTAATACGCTGTAGCACATCATATAAATATTTTTCTTTTGTCATACAGGCTGTGGCTTTCTTTTTTGGGAAAACACTATTGTGCAAAACATTATTGTGTTTAGTGATTAGTGGGGAAAGAAACATTTTAAAGAAAGAGATAATCATGTTCCAAAACTATAAGAAAAAAATAAAGAATAGAGGAAAAAGGGAAGAAAGTAATATAATAGAGAAAATTAGAACAAGCAATAGCCCGTAGAAGTTAAACTAAAAAGTACGTAATTCTTTGTGATGGAAAAATTCTGCACTACTTATAAAACTGAGCTAGTTCCCTGAACAATAGTCCTATATTTCATTTAATATGAACCAACTCACTAGTCCTTTATTGTGATATGTAGATCTGGATATTTGATAAATTGCATTTATAGTCTGTCCCTTAATCTGATAAACGATTTTGCTGTTGTGACTATAGATGCCCTAACAAGCCTAGGATGTCGTTGGGGAGTTCAAATATGACTCCTTCTAAATCTAGACAAAAGGAACACCTGTTGGGATGGTCTAAGCCAAACATGCCACAAATGTCTTTTAACGTGACCAACAAAGATCTCAATGCAGCCTGGGCATGAGGCCAAGGACGGATGGGCACAGGATGACCACTCAGCAGTTAGCAGGCCACCACTACCTTAAAGGGTGATTTTGCCAAGTGCATTTCATTTCACTTTAGCTTGCTTGGATTTTAGTCTCTAGATTTTAGTTCCAGAATATGAAATCATAAGAAGTGTTTCTTTGAACTCTGAGGATAAAAGGTAGAGTTGAAATGGAGCTGTAACGTCTGCAATGGGGGACCCTCATTGCTCAGGGATTTCGTGGTTTCCCATATTGGTGAATGTTGTGTACTTGTAAAGTTTTGCTGGTGTTGCAGAAGAAACATATCCAAGCTTGAGGAAGGATTCTTTTGCTTGAGATAATTATGTTTTATTTTTTAAATGTCATTTAAATTACATAATATTGAATTGTAACCTCAAAAGAGTTGTATAAGGAAAGCATTGTGTACAAGGTTATTAATCTCATTTTACAGATAAGGAAAATGAAGATCGGAAAACATGCTAGACTTTCTTAAGATCCCAAGTAGCAAGACATAATGAGAAACTAGGTATTCTGACCCTGAGTCTAGTGTGCTCTTCACTTCACTGGTGGTTCTTTCTTGGGTTTGATGCACTGTGTAATTCTTATGAAAAATATGGACAGTCTCCCCAGCAAAATGTACAAACACGCATAGGCATAACATTTTGTATTTCAATTTTTTTTATTAAAAGAAGAAAAATAGCATCCCTATATATATAGCATGGAAGACTGGTGGAAACTTGCTGAAACGATCTCGTTATTAAGAGCTGTGGAGAGCTATTGGCTCATGGCTCTGCAATCATCTGAAACATAAGAATATGTAAGCAAGAGGTCCACACCCTTTGAATATTGAAAAGCTCCAAGCAATCACCTGCCTTCAATTCAAACAGAAAAGTGGTCTCTTTGTTTTTTAGCAGCATGTGCATTACCAGTTTTTAATTTTATCTCATAAAGACCCAAGTTGTATAGTGTGGGGAGGGAAAAGCTTTTTCCTCTACTCTCTTAGGTTCAATGCCCAGGGTTCTGCAAATTAGACTAATAAAAGATTACAAGAGAAAAAACAAGTTTAATAGCACATGCAGTGTGCATGCATACGAGAGAAATTCAATGATAAGTAACTCAAAGAGATGGTTAGAACTTGGGCTTATATAGCATCTTAACAAAGAACAAAATGTTTGTAGATAAGTGATTAGACAAAGGCAGAGGTCATAGGCTTCCAAGGGCAGCCAACTGTGGAAAGGTAAATATATGGAGGAAATAATGGGGTAAGGTTTGTTTGCATAGTTTCATCTCATTATTGGCTTTCAGTCTTAATGGCTGTAAAAAT